CCCCGAATGATCAGCCACTCCCAAACTGAGCATCCATCACCTACAATGATCACCCCCCCCAAGTGAGCATCCTCCCTCCCCCAAACTGACCCACCAAAATGACCACCCAGCCCCCAAACTGATCATCCCCCCACTCCAAACTGACCCACCAAACCGATCATCCACCCCCCAAATGGATTCACTAAACTGATCTTCCACCCATCAAAGTGATCATCTCCTGCCCCCAAACTGCTCAACCACCAAACCATCAGCCCCCACCCAAACTGTCCAGCCCTATCTCTTCCAGGAAGGAGCCCTGCAGATCCCTGATAAGGTCAGAGCACAATGGTGTGTTCCCAGGGTGCCCTAAGGGTGGGTAGGGAACATTCCAGAACAGCAGCACTGAGGGGGCATTTCTGAGAGTCACCCAAAAAACCACTTCAGTATTTCCCTGTTCACTCAATCTTAAGATGAAGTTTTAAACCAAAAAAAGGGCCCTCAAGTGTCTGTTTTAACAGTTCTCCCTGTCCCAGAGGTAAATCCATTCCTGATCTGGCTGCTCCTCTGTGTACAGACATTTCTTCAAGGAAAGACACCCTTCCCAAAAACATTCTCTTCCTCAGGTCCACAAGAACTCTTAGCAAAGTAAACAGTTATCAAATATAAGGAAAAAAAATGGAGAGAGAACTACTAAGCACAGGTGTTCAAAAGAACATAAAACTGCCAAGAAAAAAAGCTACAAATGCCAAAAAGAGACCACAGTATTGTCTCACTGATGAAGTGGTAGCTCAGCTTTTTTAGGGACTCCCAACCTCCACATTCAAATTCATCTTTCAGTTTCTCTGTGAAGTGTCTTTTTTTAGGGCACAGTGATTAGAACCCAATACCCACAGCTGGGAGAAATTAAAAATATTCCCTGCTCTGGGGCTGTTTTGTTTCAGCACAAGGAAGGTCACACAGCTGGGCCTCTGCCTGTTCCCACCACATCTCACCCTGCAGATAAGCAAGGGAGAGCAAATTAAATAAAGCCCCACTCTGACTCCAGGCCAAGTTTTGCTTTCTCCAAAGGTTTAACCCCCACATTTCAGGTTAATATGAGGCAGGAAAGCTCCAGCTGGTGCCTATCAAAGGGGCTCAGCTGAGCTGCACATTATCAGTCCCCCAAATTTATCTGCAGCAGAAGGGGCATTTCCCTATCCTTCCCTGACAGACACACACCACAGAGTGTGAGGGATTGGGGTCCCACATTCCACAGGCTGCTCTCCAGCCCTGCAATTAGGGATCCTAATGAAGTGCTGCACTAACATAGCCTTTTGTAACTGCTCCAGGGCTGCAGGTCAAGGATCCAACTTCTTGTCATCCTCTGCCTGCTCCTTTGCAGGTGCTGGGCAGCCTTCTGGAGCCTCCTCTGCTTGCCCAGCAGAGCTGGACCCAGCCCAGCGCCAGGAGCGGCTCCCACTTTCCAGAGCCTCAGGAAGCCCAAGTCAGCAAACACTCCAGAAATACAGGATTGCGGGTTTGGGTTGGAAGAGACCTTAAAGATCACCCAGTGCCACCCCTGCCATGGGCAGGGACACCTTCCACTATCCCAGGTTGCTCCAAGTCTCATCCAGCCTGGCCTTGGACACTCCCAGGGATGGGGCAGCCACAGCTTCTCCGGGAAATCCATCCCGGCCCTTGCCCACCCTCCCAGCATCCAACCTGACCCTACTTTCAGTCTGAAACCTCAGGGTTTGCAGCCATGAGCGTCACACACATTTCAGCCCGGCGGCCTTCTCCCTCTGAGACACCCCACGAGTGTCACCCACCCCCTGAGCTCCGGGTGGGTGTCCCTGGAGGAGGGGACAGGACAAGAGAGCCCATGTGGGGCCAAGCAGCTGCCCCTGCAGCCCAGCCCTCCTGGGCCAGTCCCAGGGCAGATTATATTTCTGGCTGTTTGCTGTGGGGAGGAGGGAGACAGAGCTTAGATTTAAAGTCCTGATCAGCTGAGCATGAACGTGGAAGATCAAAGGGTCACTCGGCACACAAGCTAAGCTTTCCCTCATTGTCCTTGAACAAAATTCCTCTCACTCCAAACTGTGGAGTAAAAAAATGCCTGCCTGTCTGCCTCCCACTCTATCCCCAAGAGACACGGCTGAGTTTCACTGCTGGACAGTTTCTGCACTCGAATGTTTGGAGATGAAAAGCTCTAAAGAGCAGCAAGATAAATAAAACTGCAGTTTATTAAAAGAGACTCACAGATTATTCACCAGACCAGCCAAGCTATTTCACAGTCTGGTCATGCCTGCAGTGAAAACAGTGGGAGTTTTGGGAACAGAGCACAAGCCCTGCTAAGAGTAAGGAGACATTATGAAATGGAGCTTTTCCCTAAGTCATGGAAAGGCAGGAAGCCTCTCCTACCAGCATGAATCATCCAGAAAGCAGGAGAGCACTTCAAAGCAATCACCCCTGTCCACTGCCAGCCTTGGAACAGGGCATGGAAAGGGATACAGGGAGAGGGAGTCACTCAATTACCCCCAAAGCAACTTAAAACAGGAGCTGCAGCTCCAATAAAACCTGTTTCGTACTTGCTGCTGCATCCTCCTCATCCTCCCACTGCTGGGACCCCACAGCTCCTCCTGGAAAACACAGCCAGCAGGGATGGAGGGGTTATCCTCCTTGGGATCCCTCCCTCACACACAGAGGTTTGATTCCCGGTTTTATTAGTGCTGATGGCACTGGGGGAACCCCCTGCCCAAGGAACCCTGCAGGAGCTGGGACTGCAGGGACACAACACATCTGGGGGCCACCAGGAATTGGGATTTATGCTGGGACATCCCACTTGGCTCATCCTAAGGGATGGACTTGTCTCTCCTCCCATGCACAAAGACATGGATTCAGGAATTAGCCAGCATCAGAGACTTAGGAGGATTTCCCAGAGTAACATGGGCTGATAAAAATTAGATGTAAAGCATGTAATAAAGGAACAACATCTTGCTTAGGAGAAGGTGTTAAGGAAGCTTTCTGCTTTTAAGAGAGGCAAATCCCCTGGTTTCCCAGTTTGCAGCAGTTAAAGCTCCAGTTCATGCACCAGCTCCTGCCTGGCAGCTCCCACAGCTCTGCCTCCCTCTCCTCCTCTGAATTCCACTGGAAAAAGTACCAGAAACGTGCTACAGAAACAAAAACGACAGAAAGGGCTGGATTTGGCACAAAAAAAATGTTATCCCCTTATAGATCCAAGGCATTCCCAAGACAAACTCCCCCTCAGAAGTGCTGCTGAGCTTTTCTAGCACACAGAATTCCAGCATTGGGAAGCACAGGTAACTCAGACTGTTGGTAACAACTGGCACAATGTAATTAGGAAAAAATGCAGAGGCTGAAGAAAATCACCTACTTGGCTCGCCCTGGAGCTCAGGGAGCCAGGAGTTCATATGGGAAGGAGCTTTTTTTTGCTTTTTTAGCCATGAATAATTAGAAAAGCAGGAGTTTCAAAGGAAATCAGCAGTTCCAGCTGGCACAGGAACCCAGGAACAGCCATTTTGCAGCACTTTCTAACAGGACACAAGTCCCACAAAGCACCAAGACTGCTCACCTCAGGCTTCAATTATCTCTTTGCTCCAACTAAGACAATGTTTTTTCCTAATTAGAGACATAAACAGGGTTCTTCCCCTCTCTAATCAGAAGTATAAAGGACAGGGATCATATCCCACAGTAAACTGGTGTCAAAGCCACAGCTCCCATTTTGTGATGTCTCCCACTCTCCATCCATCCCATAATGGCAATTTGCCCTCAGTTTGGTGGCTTTTTGGTTCCCTCAGCATTAATGCTCAGAGCTCACCAGCATCCCAGGAAACTAAAGGAGGGATAAAGCTGCCAAAGGGATGGATATTTGATACTGGAGCGTGTCAGGCCATCCCAACAATCACTCGACGGGCCAAACTGGTTGGATTCACTCTCCAAACGTTCTGCCCAGCTCTGGTTCTTGTTTCCACCTCACTCCTTATCTTAAGGCTCCTTATGTTCGTGACCTTTGCTGGTCCTCCCAGCACACTCCACCCTGCAGTCTGGGGTTGTTTCTCTGTTCCCTTCCTCTTATTTTCACCCGGGACCCAAACAGGCACATCCCTAAACTATCCCTCCACCACAGGGATTAGGGGTCACTCTTCAACTGGCAGAGCAAGCAAAGATAAATTCTCTGCACTCACATATAACCTGCTTTTAACACTCTACAGCTCCTTCCTGTGTCCAAGACATTCCTGCCAGCTGGAAGCTGAGCTCCAAAGGCCGGGAATGGTCGCCCAGAGTCGGACGGGGAAGAGCTGCCCACGGGAAGTGCCAAAAGGGATCAGGTTCCACCTTCCCACACCAGGGTCCTCTTGGGTGGCAAATGTTTCCCACACCTGTGAGAGTCTGTGTCACTGGGCTGGGCAACGTGAGCAGAGTTTTCCTTTAGGAGCAGATTGGATTGATTGGGAAGCAAGGAATTAACTCCAGTGCCAGGCAGTTGGAGAGCTCTGCCTAGACTGGAAGGAATGTATTAAAGGAACAGACCACAAATCCAAAAAAATAACCCATTTTGGCAGGGCCAGGGCGAGGGTGGCACAAAAATATCCTGCCTATCAATAGGCTTTATTCCTGCCAGGGCAGAATGTGCTTTTATTGGAGCTATTTAATAATTAGATTATCCTATGAGACCCAGGGGAGGGAGGGGACCAGGAGGTGGGGCCATAATCAGCTGGAATCAAGTGAAAAACTTCTGCTTTCAGCAAAAAAAAAAAAAAAAAACTCAGCCCGGATCTTTTACTTTTTTTCCATCACAATTTAAAAAAGGAAAGATGTAGGCCAGGCTGGGCTGACCTTGCTCCTGATGCCAGGAAACACAGGCTCCACTCCGTGTCTGCTGCCAGAGCCCCAGGGAAGAGTCCGTGGATTCTGTTCAAGCCCCCAGAACACTCCAAGCCACCCACCCCCAGCTGGTGGTGTCTGCAGACCTGCAGGGCCATGATTCCCAACTCAGGCACTTCTTTAGGCTCAGCTCAGTGTCCACACAGCTCTAAACCTGCTTCAGGCCTTAAAAACATTAAACCCAGCCCCCCTCCCCCCAGACTCCTCCTCCTGGTGTGCTGCAGCTCATAACAGTTCTCTTTACTGCAAAAGCAGAAAATACCAAGTCCATCTGCAGAGAAAGCCCCGTTTCAGCAGCACAGAGTTTGGATTAAACACGTCTGCTGCTCGTGGGTTGGCTTGTGAAGTGTCCCGAGGCCACTGGGGAGTTTTATACAGAAGGAAAGACTCAAAAATTGGGGTCAGGCTTGTTGCTAGTCCAGGCTCCACAGCATTCCCACTCCATCCCCTGGGATCCCAGTCTGCCCTGCCCTGCTTGCACATCACTCACTGCACCAGGACAAGAACTAAGGTCAGGCTGGTGACAGAGTAACTGAGGCTCCAAGCCCTGCTCAGCTCCAGCCTAACATGGGTCAGGTGGCTGAGGCTCTGCCAAAAATCCAGCCGCAAACAGCAGCCATTCCCAGTTATCCCACTGGAGAAGTGGGAATAACCCAACCCACAGACATCACACTGGATCAGGAATTCTTCAGTCTTTCCAAGAGATCCCTGGTGCTGCTGTCACCTGCACCTAAATCCAGGTATGAAAGTGATTAATCAGGAACCCAAACCAGAGGGAGCCCACCTCCACTCACCTTCTGAAGACGGGGAAGTCAAAGCAGCAGCTATCCTGGATCTTCACATCTGGGTATTTCCAGCTCTGCAGCTTCATCCCAACCTTTGGGTAACTCAACCCCCCAGAGCTGGGCTGAGATGGCACCTAAAAACAAGTGAGATTTATTAAAATGGAGCAATTCAGGTGGTGTTTATGGTGTATTTTCATTCTATAGAGTTTCTCTCAGTTGCTTTAAATACACTTAAGTAAATTCACCTGCAGGAAGAGTTATTATAATTTATAAATGTTACTTATAAGGCAACTGAGAAGCTTCAGGGACTTTACAAACGTTTATTCTGCTTCCCAACAATCCCTAATTTGTATCACCACTAATGTAAGTGGTGGCAGCTCACTCCCTCCCTGCCAGCTCTCCAGAGCAAGTGGGAACTAAGGCAGGAAATTAAGGCTTTAAACCTGAATTTTTAAACCTAAACCTTTAATTTCAACCAACTGAAGTTGTACCTTATTTGTTTTGGGTTTTTTTCATTGCCTGTATTTTCTAAGATTCTGCAAGAGATATTTATTTGTTATTTAATTGTGTGATGGTTTGGGTTGGAAAAAGACCACCCAGTTCCATCGCCCTGCCACGTTCTAAAGAGTTTTAGTGAGGTCCAAGGCATGGACAGGTTTCAGATTCCATGAGATCTTCAGGACCAAAAGATCTCTGCTGAACCAGTGTGAATCTGGCACCTGCCTATATATAAATAAAAGAGGATTGAAAACCTAAAAATCACTTTTGTGTCGTTTAAGATGAAATTCCATCACCAAATTTGCCAAACTTGGGGTGTCCCGTGCAGGGCCAGGAGTTGGATTTGATGATCCCTGTGGGCCCCTTCCAGCACAGGGATGTTTTGTGAGCCTCTTCTTCTAAACTTTCTGCTTTGGCCTCAGAAAAATTCTACTCAGAATATTCTGAAAGTTTTAAAAGTCTGTTTTAAGAACATTATGAAGAGGAGCTTAACCCCAGTGGGATCCTGGTGAGCAGCAGCTGCACCAGCTCTGCACTCTGGGAAATTGCTCCCTCTCCTCCTGAGCTGATCTCAGATTCCATACCCTTCATCCACTGACATCTAGTGGTGATGGCACCACGGCAGAACCTCCAGCTGCTCCAATTCCACTTCCCTTCGTGCTTTTCCCTACCACAGACCTGCAGTTTCACCTCCAACAATTCCCAAGGAGGTTGGAAGGACCTCAAAGCTCAACCCCTTCCACCCCTTGCCAGGCTGGTTGCAGAATTCCTGCATTTAGGGGGTTTTCCAGGTTTGCAAATGAGTTCCCTGAAATAAGGGACTAGAGCTGTTCACACTCCCATTTTTCTCCTGGGCTCGATATTCAGAGCTGATTTGAACCCAATGCTTCACATACCACACAAACTGCTCCCCACTTCCTCCCTGCTGGGATAAAAGCAGAGGGATTTCATCCCTTCTCCAGGTTTGCCCTTCAGCATTTCACAGGACACTGGATACACCTAGGAGAAATGACAATTTGGAGTGAGAAAAGCAGCAGCATCACTCGCATGACTAAGGATGACAAACCCTCCCAAGGATTACAGGATTAAGTCCTGAGAAATTCATAATCCCTAAAGATAACCAGAGCTGGAAAGAAATCATGTATTTGACTAAATATCCTTCCTCTTTTCCCCCCAAGTCTTTACATAAAGCAATTTACTGCGGTTGATACACAGTGTTGTCACATTAAAAAACAAGTCCATGGGAGGTGATGGAGATAACTAGAGGGATGGAGCAATTGCTGCTCTGGAGAGAGGGCTGAGAGAGCTGCTCACAAATCCTGTGCAAAATTCCTGTCATGTTCACAAAATCTTCAGTGTCAAATCCCTGGGGTCGGGTCTGTGACTGAGAGCAGGAATGCAGGGAAAGGGGCAGGATGGATGTCAGAGGAGAAGGAATGGGGCTGGCAGAGCTAGGGGGGTTCACCTGGAGAAGGGAAGGTTCCAGGGAGACCTGAGAGCCCCTTCCAGGGCCTAAAGGAGCTCCAGGAGAGCTGGAGAGGGACTGGGGACAAGGGATGGAGAGACAGGACAAGGGGAATGGGTTTAAACTGAAAGAGAGTAGGATTAAATGGAATATTGGGAAGGAATTCCTCCCTGGGAGGGTGGGGAGGGACTGGGACGGATTTCCCAGAGAAGCTGTTGCTGTCCCTGGAACTGTCCAAGCCAGGATGGAACAACCTGGGATAGTGGAAGGTGTCCCTGGGGTGGAACTGGACCTTTAAGGTCCCTCCGAACCCAAATCGTTCCATGATTCTCCACAATTATTGATAAATGAACTCGCCTCTCAGCCTGGCCCAGCCAGAGCCGCCACACGGCCCTCAGAGACACCCGAGACAGAACCACACCGGCCAAACCCCCCAAAAATCGTTCCTCCCTCCCCCTCCCCACCGCGCCAGCATTTTGAGAGCAGAAAGCTCAATTAACGATTATTAACGATAATCCACCTCCCCGCGCGCGTCCCGGCCCCGCCCCAGCGCCCAGGCCCGGAACAGGCCTGTCCCTGAGGGGAGGCGGCGGCGGCAGGAGCAGGCGGAAGGGGGGGGCCGGGAACCCCACCGCTCCCCGCCCTCACCGCAGGGCCCTCCCCGCCCTCGCCCGGCCCCGGCAGCCCCGGCACTCACCGCCCTCCTCCGCCCCGCGGTCCCGGCGGCGCCTCAGTCCGGCCCCGCCGCTCCGCCTGCCCGAACCCAACATGGCGCCCCCGGGCAACACCACCCGCCCCGCGCCTCGCCGGCTTCATGCCCTCACTCAAAATGGCCGCCGCCTCAGCGCCCTGCGCCAAGAGCCCTCGGCCCGAATCAAACATGGCGGCGCGCGGCTTCGCTGCCGGCGGCGCCACAGTGATGCTTTGCCCGGCTCCAAGATGGCTCCCGGTCACGTGACCGGGGGGTGTGGGCCGCGTCCCGGCGGAAACGTGAGGGACCGAGCAGGGAACGGCGGCTGGAAGCGGGGCTGGCGCCGCCGGAGCAGACGTGCCTCAGGGCGGAAGACACGGCTGTCACCACGGAGCCCGCCAGCGCTAACACGACGGCGGCCACCGCCGCCTCGCGGGCCGCGGGCGCCGGGGACCAGGCGAGCTCGCTGCCCCCGCCTAGGATGCAGCGCAGGAAGGTGAGCGCGGCTGGGGATCGGAGAAGGCGGCTGATGGGGGGTACCGACGAGCTTGGCCGGCAGTTTTCGACCCTTCCCCAACCTCTCCGCTGCCTCTCCCGAGCACAAAACCGGGGGGAAAATAGCGGCCTTGAGCCCCCAGCGCCCGCCTCCCGCGCTCGCTGATTTGCTCCCGCACGGGTACGTCGCGCGCTGATTGGACGCCTTGCCTGTCACTCATCGCCCCCAACGGCCACCGCTCCCCCTCCCCCGCCCGGGCTTGGGGTTCCGCCCCTTGACGCCTTCGATTGGGCAGGCCGCCGTAGAGCCGATGGCCTATTCGTCAGGCTGCAGTGCCGGGCCTGCCTCTGATTGGCCTTCAGGGCTGTCAATCCGCCCCCAACGGTCACCTCCCCGCGCGTGCCCTGTTTCCCTCATCTGACTCCGCCCCGCCGGTTGATGTTGCCGTGGGAGCAAGCCTGGCACTGATAGGGCGGCTCTGCCGTCACTCACTCACTGCGGGCCCGCCTTTTACCCTTCCTCGAGCTGCCACTGGCGGGTTCTTCCTTTGGCTCCTCCCACGCGCGCTGCGATTGGCTGAGGCTGGCGAGGCTCCCCTGGGTGCAAAACAAAGCGGCGCGGGGGCCGCGCTCCCGCCACTGGCGCGAGACCTCCCTCCCCTTCCCCTCATGGCGGCCGCCACCCCAACTCCCCTCACTGCTCCCGCCATCGCCGTCCCCTTTACGGCTGTGCCCCCCCGAGGGTCCCTCCGGGGATCCCACTGTGCCCCTTCCCACATCCGGATCTGTCCCCCTGCTATGGGATAACTCCCTGGTTTATGAACTGCGAATGACTTCATGTGGTGTAGAATATCCGTTTGCCCAGTTTGGGGCACTGGTGTGGGATATCCCTCTGCCCAGTTTGTGGTGCCTGTCCCAGCTCTGCTCCCTCCCAGTTCGTTTCTGACCCTTCTTGTTGGCAGAGCAGGAGGCACAAAGAAAGGGGGAAAAGGGTCCTTGATTTAGGATAAACCCAAAAAATTGGTGTGTTCTCAACACCATTCTCATCCTGAATCCCAAACACGGCAGCTGAGGAGGAGTTAAATCTGTCCCAGCTGAATCCAGGACACGGGGCAGCCAGGTGGGATTTTGGGGGGCACGGATCCCTCAGGGAGCAGCTGGAGGGACAGAGCACATGGAATATCCTGAGTTGGAAGGGATCCACCAGGATCATCCCAACTCCTGGCCCTGCCCAGGACACCCCAAGCCTTTCAGCTGAAGTGTCTGGGACGAGGTGGGAACCTTCCCGATAGGGGAAAAATAGATCACGGAATCCCAGGTTGCAAAAGACCTCCAAGATCCCTGAGTCCAACCTGTGACCCAACACCATCTTTTGCTTTAATAAATTTGGTGTTCCCATGACCTTTCCTTGGGGATCAGTTTGCAAGAAGCTTTTTATTACTGAAGGCACTGACACTGCATATTTATTAAACCAAAATAAAGAGCAATACACTTGACATTTTTAGTTGAATTTATCCATCTAACATCTCTTCCATCCCTGGAAGTGTCCAAGGCCAGGTTGGACAGGGCTTGGAGCAATCTGGGCTGGTGGGAGGTGTCCCTGCCCACGGCAGAGGGGTGGGACTGGATGAGCTTTAAACTTCTTCCGACCCAAACCATTCCATGATCCTATGAAATATTTTCTACAATATCCAAGTTGAGGTGCTCTCTGCTGACGTGTGGGCTGTGCTGTTGCAGAGGAACGCGGGCAGTAGCTCAGATGGGACGGAGGACTCCGATTTTTCCACGGATCCCGAGCACACGGACAGCTCGGAGAGCGACGGCACCTCCCGGCGATCCGCCCGTGTGACACGTTCCTCGGCCAGGCTCAGCCAGAGCTCCCAAGGTAAAGGTTGGGCTTCAAAAAACCAAAAGAAATTCAGCCTTTTCAGCAAAAAAAAAAACAAAAACAAAACCAAAAAAAAACAACCCCCCTAAAAAAAAAAAAAAAAAGACTCAGTGCACTCTGTGCTGTTTAGAACCTAAACATGTAGAATTTAAGCATAAATAGGAGCCAAGTGAGGGAGAGGGGGTTTAGGGGTGAGAGTGGGTTTTATTTCCTTTATTTGCTTGTTTGGGGGGTCCTGTGCCCCAAGGGGAGATGTATTTTTGGGATGTGCTGACCCTGCTGTGTGATAAACGTTATCAAATATTGGCAGTTATTTTGTGTGCTCCTCCTTTGGCACTCAGACTGTAAAAGGAAACATGGAATGAGTCCACCTCCTCTTTTTTAGTGTTAGTGTGGGCAGTTTTTGGCAGTTATTTCATGTGTTGCCATCTGGCATCAAGGGGAGGAAATGACAGCAGATAAAAACTCATTTCCATTGCTCCTTGTAGACACTTGGATTAAAAAAAAATGCGGTTTGTGACAAATTTTATTGCAGATGAGAAATACATGTGTGTGATCATTAAAAACGAGGAAAGGTGTGTATGGAATACCTGTGATATCCATGGGTTAGGACAGCATTATTTTAATGCAAAATAATTGTTTTATATGTATTCCCTGCCTCTTGCAGGGGTTGGAACTGGATGAGCTTTAAAGTCCCTTCCAACCCAAACCATTCCATGATTCTTATGAGCAGGGTAGGATCACAAACCACACACAAATCCAAATCCAAATCAGCTACAAATCCAAATCAAATCCAGATCCCAAATCCAGCTCCACACTGGGAGCAATCCTGCTCTTCCCAAGGCTTATCTGAACTCCGATAGTTCTTATCTAAGCTAACGGATCTTTAGCTTTCCAAACTGAACCTGGTTAATAATTATTGGTTAATTAAGTCATTTAGTCCAGAGAAAGCTGATGTAATTCCAGACTGCTCAGTGTGAGTGATATCCCAGAGATTTTATCTGGGGAGGACAGAGCATGGTGAGAGTGGCAGGGTAGAACTGTCAGTCACAGACTCTGCTGTTCTGGAGGTCATCTTCCTCCTCCTGCTCTGGGGCAGGGTTTGGGGGCCGGGCAGGGTTTGCTGGGCAGGGTTTGGGGCTGGGGCAGGGTTTGCTGGGCAGGATTTGGGGCTGGGGCAGGGTTTGCTGGGCAGGATTTGGGGCTGGGGCAAGGTTTGGGGCTGGGCAGGGTTTGCTGGCAGTCCCTGCTGGTTCTCGAGGTGTAACTGCACTGCTCCTGTGGGCTCAGATTCCAGCCCGGTGCGCAACCCGCCGTCCTTCGGAGCGGAGGAGCCCGTGTACTCCACGCGCAGGGTGACCCGCAGCCAGCAGCAGCCCGCTCCCGTCACTCCCAAAAAGTACCCGCTGCGGCAGACGCGCTCCTCTGGCTCCGAGACAGAGCAGGTGGTGGATTTCTCGGACAGAGGTGCGTGCCGGGGAGAACCTCTGGGAAAAACCCAGGGCTGGGGGTTGGAGCTCTGGGCTTTACGTGTGTCTTTAGAAGCCTTTTCTCGGATTGGTAACATCCAGATCCTTTTGTTGTCCATATCCTTACCCAGACACAAAAAACGCAGCGGATCACGATGAGTCCCCGCCTCGCACTCCCACCGGGAACGCCCCTTCCTCGGAGTCGGACATTGACATCTCCAGCCCAAACGTGTCCCACGATGAGAGCATCGCCAAGGACATGTCCATGAAGGATTCCGGGAGTGACCTCTCCCACCGCCCCAAGCGGCGCCGCTTCCACGAGAGCTACAACTTCAACATGAAATGTCCCACTCCTGGTTGTAACTCCTTAGGTAATTCCAGCTCCAGGGTCCATCTGCTGGGCTTTGCATTCCTGCTGTGATATTCCAGGTTGTTATACACCCTAAAAAACGTGGAGTTAGTTAGGAGCAGGAATATGGAGGAGAAGGTGGTCTAGGGAAGGGATATGAAGCCTAAATGCAGGTGTATCTGCAGGGACATTCCTGGAGGTGTTTTCTGCCTAGGAGTGACAGGGAATGACAAGATAAGGACCAAAATAGGAGGATGAGCCCAGGTGTGGGAGGAAAATGCAGAGTCTTGCAGGCAGGGAATAGATTTTTTGCCAGAAACAGAATTTCAGCCCCAAATTCCTGCTCCACCATACCTGACTGCCTGCAGGGAGGGCAGCGGGAGAAAGATTTTCCTTGCTTTGGCCACGAAGCAGGAAGTTTGCTCCTTCAATCCCACTGAGCCTGCTTGTGTGAGGCATCTGGGAGACTTTTGAGACCTCGTGTTGGTTATTTCTTATGGGTTGGGTTGTTTTTCTGCCCCTCTGCAGGACACCTGACTGGAAAGCACGAGCGACACTTCTCCATCTCGGGGTGCCCCCTGTACCACAATCTCTCAGCAGATGAGTGCAAGGTGAATGCTTGGCTTGTTTTGCCTTCTGCTTTATCTTCCTGGGGGATTTGTAGAACAAAATGCCAAGATGATTTTTGAACCGAAAACAGAGTTGACACAGGTGGTCAGCTGCTGTCTTTGGCAGCAGCATTTGCGTGTCAAACACAGTTCAGAATATTCACCTGTAAGAGAAAAGGGAGGAAAAGAGTTTGCTGCAGCACTGACAGGTGGATTTTGGGTTCCAGGTGCGAGCCCAGAGCCGGGATAAGCAGATTGAGGAGCGGATGTTGGCCCACAGGCAGGATGACAACAACAGACACGCCACCAGGCACCAGGTAACACTGGGAAAACCTCAGCTTCCACTGTTGTCACTCAGTTCGTTTCAGCAAAGGCCATTCCTTGTATCCCTTCAGTGGGAGTGGAGCAGCCAGGGAGAG